CCCCCCCCCCCCCGATATTTCTACGATTAATTTGCTTGATATTAAAAACTCGCTTTTTGGTTAGTTGTCTAACTAATTTCCATGGGCGGAATTTATGATAGTGGCAGTGAGCTTATCGTTGGAAAAGAAATAAGGCAAAGATGGTGAAGATGACAATGATAGCCCGTGTTACTGATGGTCTGCCTCTGGCAGAAGGTTTGGATGATGGGCGTGACTTGCCAGATTCAGACATGTATAAGCAACAAGTCAAGGCTCTCTTTAAGAATCTCTCGAGAGGCCAAAATGAGGCTTCAAGGATGTCGATTGAAACCGGCCCTTATGTTTTCCAGTATCCTTAATCTAAGTTTTCTCATAATATACCAGGTTTATTCTCAAATCCAGAAGCTGTAGTACTGTTTTGGCATTTATTTATATTCAATATTCTATTTGCTAAACTTTCATGCTGCGATTGAAAAGTTTGGTTTATTCTTTCTAGTGTCTTATACTTATACATGGTATTGTGTATATATTTCTTTGTTATATTGTTTTACTTTTCATCATGACATTAAGATGGAGGATGCCATGTCCATGCTTCCTTGACTATGAAACTTAGTTACATCATAGAAGGACGTGTTTGCTACCTGACAATGTGTGATCGCTCTTATCCCAAGAAACTTGCCTTTCAATACTTGGAAGATCTCAAGAATGAATTTGAACGAGTAAATGGAGCTCACATTGAAACAGCCGCTCGACCATATGCCTTCATTAAATTTGGTAAAGATACATTGACCAATGTTGTCATCATCGTTGGAACATTCCTTTTGGATCTTCATTGTTTTTCCTGTCTTCATGTATTGCAGATACCTTTATACAGAAAACCAAGAAATTGTACCAAGACACTCGTACTCAACGGAATATTTCCAAGTTGAATGATGAACTTTATGAGGTCCATCAAATAATGACTCGGAATGTGCAAGAAGTGCTTGGGGTTGGGGAAAAGCTTGACCGTAAGATGCGTTCGCTTTGTTGTATTACGTTTTCTAATCTTATTTTTAGGAAAAAACCCTCATTTGACAAGAAAAAGAAACTGAACTAATCATTATGTGCTAGCGTCTGGATACCACGGTACTATCTTCTCTGCTTCTCTTTTCTTTGATGCAGAGGTTAGTCAGATGTCAAGCCGGTTAACGTCAGAATCTCGTATATACGCTGATAAGGCTAAAGATTTGAACCGCCAGGTCAGTTCCATCATCCTAAGGTTGACTCATTGCACTTTTATATTTATCAATATTGTTCTCTCGTGCTTTCTTAGTGTGTGATCCTTATGAAAGTTGACATATATTATGACCGTGAACTGTCTGCTGTTCAGAAACTTTATACGAATTGAAGGGTACTTTTATTGCACCCCTTAAACTGCAAATTGATCGTCTCGGACTATATCTTGTTACGATATGCAACTCAGTTGAGGCCGTTGCAACTTTGACAATTCTTTTCTGATTTATGGTATGTGTAATCAAGGCATACCTAATTATGGTATCACAAGTTTTCTTCAAGATTTGCTTCGACTTAAACGACCTCGCAAACCATATTCGGGTAGCCATATAAACCTAGAGATCAACAAACATGGTAGAGATTGACGTAAATCCTTCATCTGTGGTACGGTCTAACACGTCTACACCTCCGGTTACAATTTCTGTCTGATTCATCTGCTGATGTGTTGATGTACCAAAGACGATTTAGGTTTAGAGATTTTTCAAGACTTCAAATATCGTCATGTCATCATCTACATTGTTCATAAACCCTAAACCTGGTTTCGATTGTTTGCTGTCATCATGATCATGTCGTTACCTGTCTTTTGGTTATTGATGTACCAAAGATAATGTGGGTTCATAGATTTCTTTTTAAGACTTCAGTGTCATGTCATCATAAACCCAAAACCCTAAACGTGAATGTTGATTTTTTTTTTCTCTCATCGTGTCGGTACCAGGCTTTGATTCGGAAGTGGGCACCAGTTGCCATCGTTTTGGGGGTCGTCTTCCTCCTGTTCTGGGTCAAGACGAAGCTATGGTAAAGCAGACTTCTCTCCACGGACATGGATTCCGGCAGCTAAAATACTTAATCTTTTCGTTAAGAGTTCCATTTTTGTACAATCTTGCAATAACTTGGGAACACATTTTCAAGTTTATTACGGTAACTGAGGTATTATATGAAGGTTGGTAATAGTAGAATCATGAGTTCAACTCTCTCATGTTTATAATTGAACTACTGTCGTCATATTATATATTGCATTTCTTTCCACCATGTAACTTTGGATACTTCACACCACTTCGTTGTCTGAAGCTATTCAGATGTTTGTCGGATGTGTACTGAGGGGGAAAAAAAAACTCGATTTCGGTTCAGTTATTTGGTGAGGTGAGATCGAGTTTTGCGAGGATATTTGAAATTACACAAATGCCCTTCAGTTACCTATATTTATGAAGTCGTTGCTGTTTTTATAAACTCACATTGTTGTTTCTTCTATCACTCTTGAGTTGTCTCTCGTCGTCGCGTCATGCACCCCCACATACTCGAGTAGTTGGAGTACCACACAGCTCGGATATTCGAAATCCATGGATTGGGGAGTCGGGTTCCGAATCCTAAAGCCCGAACCATTCAGTTTCAAATTCTTGGGTCCACTCACCCCTACTCTGGAGCATCAAATTTGAGATCACAAGAAACGTTTGAACCTTATACAATAGTCATTTTATCCTCTAAATAGTGTTTATGCAACCTCCACATCCAAGGCACCGATGAACATGGTAGAGGATTCTCTTGAGAGCGAAAAATTGATGAACGGACACTTTTGCATTAATATGTTATAATTTCGAATGCTGATGGTTATAAATGAAAATTTAAAATAGTGTATTATTATGTTAAAATTAAAATTCATGTGTTAATTTGTAGATGATAATTTTTAATGGGTTTATATATGGTTTTTATTTCATAACACAGCGAGTTTTTGAAGAAAAAAAAACACTGGAAAACAATATATGTATTCAAATGCTGAAGTAACCGAAACAAAAAAAAGAAAGAAAAAGAAGGATAGTAAAATGAGATGAAATAAACTGACCAGGGAACGAAGCGTAATGGATAAGAGCGCTGTGTAGAGATGAACCGCGATTAGGCTAACGAATCCACGAAGGCTCCAGACTGAAGAGCTTATCGCTCCGGTTGTGAGCAACCGATGTTCGCGGCGGTGGGGCGTGAACTGTGATCGGAAGTACCCATTCGCTTCTGTCTCGTTCCTCAATTAGCAACGGATGTTCATACCTGACACGTACAAAGAACGAGGGATTACGACCCGAGGTTCAACGATTTTGGAACCCGGGATTGAGATCGGACAGTTCTCATCAGATTCCTGATGCGAATCCCGTTGAACAATGTGGGCATGGGCACCCAAAATGGCAAGTACAAGCACCCGGCCAACCCATGAATCGGGAATTCGAAATCTTGGATACTTGTCCATTGGCGGAACAAGTATAGATCTGTCAGCAGCGAGAACCCAGCATTTGGATTTTGGCCGGCGAATACCCGAGTCAGGGGGGGTAAGAGAGACCGAGGGGGCTGAGGGCGAGGGAGACGGAGTCGCAGAGATTAAGGGTTTGTTTTTAAAATAAAGATTAGGGATTAGGGTTTTTTAATCTTCGTGTTGAGCCGAGGTCGAAGGGCAAAGGAAGCGACAATTTAGGGTTTTGGTTCGCTCTTATCTCACGCCGCCTTGCCGCTAGCCCTCTAGCATTGCCCCCCTCGGCTTGCTGCCTCACCCTTTTGCCCTGTCACCTCGTCGCTCACCCTTGCTGACAGGGTACCCGATGGATCCCAAGCCCTCGTCGCAGTACCAAACTCTTACAAAACCGAGGTCGGTAGTCCGGCAGAGAAACCCTTCGGACTAGACCAAGATTGGGTACAACGAAAAATTCAGATACCAACCCGAGACACCCCTGATGAACTTTGCAGTCATACCTGCTCAAGTCGACATTCTTCGGGGTGGTTAAGAACTCAAACCGTAAGATCCATTGCACGGAAACATGAGGTGTAGAGAACGACATTGGACCATCCATCGGAATCGAGAAAAGAAAGCTGGTTTGCACAAGATCAGCTACCACCTCGTGATGATCGCTTTGGACCTATGCAAAAAAATGAAACAGAATAACACAGTATGGGTAAGGTACATTCGATTTTCACAAAACCCGTTACACAAATTTCGTGGTCACAGGGACAAGAGCATTCCAGAACATATTGCTACTTTTCGAGTTCGAGCCGAAACAAAAGAACCTGTCAAGACAGCTTTGAGAACAGAAATCTATCTTGTCAGATGCAGGATTGAACAGAGTTTACAGCAAAACAAAACGAATTCTGATAACTGAGTTTTTAAATAATTGAGCTTGTTCGAGAGCTCGGAATAGCATTAGAAAATTTACTTTCAGGGAACCTGTTGTTTTATTTAAATTTGGCTTCAATCACCAAATTCCATCATACATACTATCAAATTTACTAAATCATTACCTTAGTAAGCGTTGGAGAATTTCTCCGAGATGGATGAACAAAACGCCGATTTATTGTCTCTGAAGTTTCCAGCGTTACCGAGACCTGTGATAAGTACTACAGAGTGGTTAGAGGCAAAGGTAACCAGCTATTGTGGTGTTTGTTTGTTTAGATAGCATATATGTGTTGACATTTGTTTGGTTGTTTTGTTAGTTGTTTCGTTATGATTGGTAGTAGTTAGATGATTCTGTTAGGAGGGAATTGTATAAAGAAAGGAGGAGGGGGTTGAAAGAGGATTAGGTATTTTCTGATTGAGAACTGGGTGGGAAAGAGAGTAGGGGCCTCTCTCTAATCAAAGCTATCGGAAATGTATATGGTTTGGGTGATCAATAAAGCTGCTGGAGTTACTCTAAGGAGCTGATTGAGAAGTCAAACCTTAACAACCTGTGAACCAAATTTTGGCAACTGAATTCAACAAGTCCTCAGAGTAAGTATCATAACTCAAATTTGCACCAAGAACTTTCATTTCATTTTACCTCGAGGCATCTCCTGGCTCCTTCTTCATGGAAGAAAGTAAGAGTTCCACCTATCTGTTATAGATACAATTCGAAAATAATTATTAGATGCGGATAATATTTGGAAGAATAGGAAATAATACGAAACTACTATTACCGAATCACTGAAGTAATAAGTAGAGTCAGCATTCTTAGGGGAAAATTTAAGGAGGATTTGATCATCCATCCTTATATTGTACGACCTTCCTCGTGTAAATCCTTCTGCTGCAGAAAAAAACTCGCACGAATAAGTCGATGATCGAGAAAACACCAGCCGAAGCAAAGACTACAACATGCTAAAATGTATAGCATATTAGAAGTGAACTGGAGTAAGAAATTACAAGGAACTAGTTCGCCAGCTCCTGCAGTATCAGTCTGATTTGGTTGCTGGTTCGGGATCACGTGATTTGATGACTTGTTTGGCGAAAAACCGTCTGGTGCAAACAATAAACTGTATCTTCAGAAATCTCTTACCTAATCACAACCTGAGAAATTAGCGCTTGTATGAAAATTAATCACCCACCAGCTCCGGAATCATACAGCACTTCAGCAACTGATAACTGAGAAAGTGTTAACTTTGGAGATGAACGACCACGTTCTTCAATATATGATGCATCTTTCATTGATAATCGTGGTCCAGATTGCAAAGAAAGTGAACTGCCAAAGGTCCTGTGTAAATTCCCTTTTTCGGGATAAGAAGAAACAGACATCATCTCATCCCGTGAGCTGTCGTATCCATCTTCACCACTATCATATGCCTCATTAGCTCTAGCCTGCATACAAGGACATTCAGTCGGTTGTTCACGCTCCAACCAGCATGAAAATGAAATCTATACAGCTATAAAAAGCTCTAACAATCTATCGTATGCAAGACTAATAGTAAAGAGAACATAAAAACGGTGAGTAATGAGGTCGGTATTACCCATTCCGAGTCTCCATCCATCTCTTTCCAATATATTTCTGTTTGGATGGTACTGGTTGGAACAATCCCTGAAAGAAGAGGTAAGAATGTAGATTTGACGCACTAATATTCTTGGGTGCAGATATATCAGATCGATTTTTAAAAAAAAGGGAGAGGAACTTGTATAGGGTAGGAGGTAGAGTTGTATTTCACCGGATAAGTTGTTCCTACATCTAGTCACGAAACAAAAGATTATTATAAATCCAGATGCAACTCATATCTCGACCCATTTACTCATCGTCGGGTCAGCACAACTTGTGAGATAGTTTGAATGATTTACTTAGCCAAAAGGGTCTGTCAGTCTGTAAACCAACTTTCAAAAATAAAGAAAAATATGCTTTTCCGTTTTAAAACACTTACTGTGACTCATCGTTTTGGGTACACAGAATTCGATCCTTAAATTTCAGATTTCTCCATCCAAAAATTAAGACAATAACTTACCATCATTTTGACTTTCCTCTAATAGCAAACCATTGTTCTTCTGAATTATCCAAACTTGTATAGGGATGCGAGTCTCCTGTAGGTAAATGAAAAAAGGAGTATTGATGTCAAAATTCTGTCAACAACACATAAATCAGAAAACACAACTGTGAAACCCATACGAGGCAACAGAGAAAAAAATCCCAAACCTACGCCAACAATCATTTGCACAGAAATAAAATACTCCACCTACAATAAAAATCATCTGATCCAACTTTCGGGACCAAAATACCAAAAAGCACAAATTTTGCATATCGTTAATACAATTTTAAGAATAACACACTAGAGCACAGCGACAAGAACCACGTATAACAAATTCACCAAGGAAACAAACTCCAACTCCATGTCCCAATGAAATGCAAGCAACGGACATTTAAACTAAGCTACAGTTCAATCCCCCTTGTTTCGGCAGAAATCTGAGAACATCTGCATCCTATCACCTTAGAGAAGCATCAAGCAAGCTGATTTAAGAATTCATCAATTTAAGTTGAGTGATTCTCAGTTAAGATCAAAAGCATAGCCGTACTGTATTGATGTAAAAGTCTCTCAAAAACAAGATGGAAGCATTATATTCTGGAACGTCCCCATGTTCTCCCCAGAGCAATGTAACACCAGAACACTAATACCCAGAAACACTAACATCCCTAGATTGCTTGCTTTTCTGCTATATAGCTGCCCATCTCAGTAGCTACTTAAACAGCTTTTCCCCCCAATCTAACAGATTCATCACAATGAATGTTACAGGAACCAGAATAACCCGCATGACAGCACAAGTCAACTGATAGGAGAGGTCTAACATTCTCTTATTGAGTTTTAAAGCCTTAACCAAGCTAGAATCCAGGAAGTAACCTAGGTTGGTATTTCAAGAACCATAAGAAATCTCAGAACCTTACAGCCTCTTTAATAAACTTATGTCCAATATATTTTTAGATTCCAACTTATATCTTTTCCTCGCAGCAGAATTAGAAATAGACTACTCCCTTATGGTGATCAAAGTGAACTATACACAAAGCATTGGCAACAAAATATGAATTGCACAAACGCTTTTGACGAGTCAAATTTCAGGTCATTGTAGTTGACCGAGACGGAGATCCACCTTTAAAGATCAACTAAGTGGAATGAAATAAGGAGGCGACCCATTTATGAAGCAGGAAATAATGTCAAGATAACAGATCAATTCTTGTCCAACAAAAGGGAAATAAGGCAATTAAGGGATCCTTTGTATATAGTTAGACACCCTATTGAAGCCATTGGAATAAAATAAAATCACACGGAGGACATAAGCAACTTCACATAAACATCCGTGCGAAAAGATTTGATTCAAGTCGAAGTACAGCTAATAATCCATTCATCCAAAAAGTAAAGACAACAATGACAAGTTAAGTACACTAACCACTTCAGTGAAATCTTTTCTCGAATCTTTGTAGCTATCACTACTCTCTAGCATCAGCCATCTGCCACATAATGTAGTCCTAATGTAGTAAAGATAACGGATAGTAGCACCCTTATAAGAAGGCGGTATAATGTCCGGGAGAACAGCTCGAACCATAACTGTAAAAGGATCTATTATACAGTCAGTCAATCTGAATAAAAATTATAAATAGTAAAGTGAGATGCATTCCACAAAGCCTCATCTATCATGTTACAAACCCATACGTTGATAATCGACAGAAAACTCACACAACAAACTCACTGAAGAAAACATTTATGTGCAACAATTGCAATCAACCCATTGAGTGCATCCCAGTTGTCTGGATTACTATACATAGGGATGAGTAAACAACCATATAAAAAAATTAAAAATATCTAGATTTTATTAATTCATTCCTTTACGACGACTATTTTTGCTCACATTCTGGGATACAAACCAATTTCAGAGGTACCAGAAATCTGCAGCCAATTTTTTTGTAGCCAATTTTTTTTATCATGTTTTTATTCCTGTTCCATCAAACTCTGGTCTGGTGTGGTTAGGTTAACACATCCTCTAGATTAAAAAAATATAAAGGAGTATAGCTGCCAAAACATTCTCTCCAAAGCGTGCAGATGAGATTCAAAACTCCACCATTTTAGACATTTAGAAATCATTCAATTCCATCCACAATCATGCAATTACAATTGATTTTTGTTTATGAAGATCTACCTACTTCCAGCACATGCAATATTAGCTCCACAAGATGATTAAATCAGACAACTGCGTTACTGATGCATAAAAGGCCCCTTCCAAGCAACTACTAGTACACCAAGAACAAACCATTAAAAATTTGACTAGAAGGAGTTTATGCTTGACCTTTAAGTTTTACATAACACATCCCCGTGCTAAGTACCATGTTTGTATGCAATAATTCATATATTGATAAAAAAAAAGGAATAGACAAGATTACATGTCTTTTTGGAACCGGAAGACAGGAGTTGATTTGAAGTTATGGATGGTGTTGAGCTGTCCAGGAAGATATGTTCACCTGAAATTCTCCAACAAAAAAGTTTTCAGCATACATTTACGCCCTTGTGGTCGGACCCTTCCCTAGACCCTCACTCACCGGGATGCTTTGTGCACCGGGCTGCCTTTTATATTAGTATAAGGGTAGAAGTACATTGCATAGAAACTAGTTCTCTTCTGTTCTCTTGTCATGAACTTAACCTAAAAAGAAGCATTGCAGTTTCTAATATAGAGGTAATCTAAGTAATGCCCCAGTAGATTTCCTCTAATTACAAACAATTTTGATGAATGCTAGAAAGGTGGCAGTGAACATGACAAGTTGAACACAACAAAAACATAAACTGTATAGCACATAATATATGTACAGGAAGATACTTGAAGACTGAAAAACCCATTGTTTCGAAGTTAAAATTGACAAAAAAACAGAGAGCACATAATTCCTATTCTCATTCATCTCACGTATCCTCTTCAATGCTTTCATTTTCGACGTAACACAGCATTAAATGTTGATCCAAATGGCCACTCAAAAAGAGTCGATGTGTGTGTGTGTGTGAGAGAGAGAGAGAGAGAACATAAAATGACACTTCAAAAGGCACGAAATCATCCATTAACCTCCAAATAGCAGCCATGTCATAACCTTAAACCAGTTTGTTTAGAGCCTCTAAATTGCAACATTTTACTTTTGTTCCCAAGTACAACTGAGAAAACCAGCCAACAGAACAAATAACAAAACCATCAGTAAGGAAATTATCTATAAATACCTCTCCGTCCTTTGGATCCCGGCAGTGGCTTCTGAGTAGAAAACCACTGAACGTCCAACTTCTCTACTCCTTTCAGCTCAAAACTAAGCCTTTCAACCAAAAATGAAGGCATCAACCTGTTTTCATGATTCCTTGCCAAAGAATTGCCCACCTCAATGGTAACAAATACTGAATCTCCCGGCCTATAAACATCTTTATCTGTTTCCAAGCTAAGAGTTGGTTTTAGCTTGCTTCCAGAACTATCAAATGAATCATTAACTTTGTGGGAACTACTGGTGCTAAAAAACGAAAACCCTGATGGCACCATTGCTTCATCAGTTGTCCTTCTCAACAACTTCAATTATTCATCCAGATTAACATAGAAAATCACAGAAGCCGACATAAGCACGCTTCTAGAAAATTTCAACCAGTCCTAAAACCTGCCAAATAGACGGAAGGAGATTTCAGAACCAGATCAGATAAGAGCTGCTCCTAAAAATTCGTAGGAAATGGTCCAGGCAAACTAAAACAGGTGAAATCAAACCCAAATCCATCGTCCGAATTGCAAATTCTCCAACACCATTTTTGCTTTCAATGAACACAACAGTTCGTATTTCTCTCTTCTATTTTTCCCGGGAATCAAACACAAATCAGGTACACTAAACCAAGATTAGCAATCGGAATTTTAACGAGAACTCAGATCTCAAGAATATACAAAATGACAAAGACGCGAATCGTGCAGATCAGAGGACCGATGTAAGATTCAGTTCAAATAACAAAAGCCAAACTGCGATCACAATCTGATTGACAGAGAGACTGACCTTCTTCCTTCTCCGGAGACACGGAGACCGACACCGTAGAAGCCGGAGAATATCGGTACGGCAGCGACGTAGAGGTCACCGGCGACGAAGCGAGCAAAAATGTCTGAAAGCTAAAAGGTCGAGTAATTGCGGGTTAGATTTCTACGTTAACCGGGACGATTAACCCCACACCGGGTTTAGATTGTTAAATGACCACGTTGTCCTCGAGTGGGCTGGCCGCGCATTACATAATGGAAAATTAATTTTTATAATGTCATTCCAAGATTTATACACACTAAAACTTACAAAATTCCATTTTTCTACAAAACAAATCTATAGGATTTTAGATTTTTTGTGATTCAATTCGTTATTTGCGTTTGATAAAATGTGAAAATTTGATAATAAGATCCATTTTATCATAAAAAAATTATATTTTTTTTTTGTTCAATGTGAATGTATATTTAACAAAAATTAGAGATTAGACAGCAATGACATTTATAAACTTTTATAACAAAGAATTTCCATCACTAAGTGGTCAATATAAAGAGGATATTACATGAATAATGATCAACGATCAATCTAAATTAGTCGAGTTTTGGCACATAAAGAAGTATCAATTCTTCAATAGTGAGCATGTTCTTCCATGGTACTGCAATCTGATAGAGAGCATAACGTTTCGCACCATCTTATCGAGTTTTCATCTGATCATCTCCGCGAAATTCGACTCATTCTTGAATATGCGGTTGTTCCTCTCCTGCCAAATAATGTGTATTGTCGCCTGAAAGAGGAGCTTAGCAATGGTTAGTCGATCCATTGTTATGTTGTGTGACTTGTCCTTGATCCAGCAATGTACGCATTCATCCTCGTCGGCGGGTCTGGCCAGCACCTCTCCGCAAAGACATACCATAGCGCAGCACTATAGGAACAGTGTAGGAAAAGGTGTTGGTGAGTGAGTTTCTTCAGCATTCCCCCAAATGCAGCATGTTGGGTCGACATTCATTCCCCATCGTAGAAGCCTGTCCCGTGTCGGCAATCTTTCTTGAAGAACCGGCCACAATAGTAAAGAGTCTCAAGATACAGATTCTCTAAACCAAATCACCGAATATCATGGCACTCGTTCCTGCGATGACCTAAGTTGCCACCATGTCTTCGCATTTGAGAAATCCAGTTTGTATTTATTGCTACCTTGCTTTCACAATGGTTTGTCTGCACCTTTGTCATCCGTTGGTAACTCTCTGTCCACCAACTGCAAGTGGATGCTTTGGATAGCATCCGTCCGTGCACCAGGAAACCGCCATGAAGATCTGCCACCACATCTCGAACTGTAGCTTGTCTAGGTATACGCATCAGTCTCGGGCCAAACTCTCCGGTAAGGTTGATGAAGGGGCCAAGGTCTATCCAGTCATCCAGCCAAAAGTGAGTATTTTTTCTGTCATTAACCTGCATCTTAATGAATTTCTGGGCCTCGTCTTTTATTCCCAACAACTTCCTAAAATTCCACGATATACTCGAGCTCAACTTCAAATCCCAAAAGTTTTTAGAGAAAATTTGCATAAATATACAAAAAAAAAACGTCTTTGCATTCTATACTTCTACTATTGTAATCTTTGTATTCTATACTTTTTTAAGTTAAAATGACCATCATACCCTTCTATATTATTATAACCGGCAGATTTCTTGTATTTATAAAAAAACACTTGCATGAATTTGGTTTTCCTCCACATACATGAAAAAACACTTATATGGATTTTGTTTTATTATATAAATATAGAAAAGCACTTGTATGAGTTTCGTGAAAAAATACTTGCAAGTTAGCAGGTGCAACAAGTGCTGTAGTTGACCTACCGCAAGCCGTAAGTGCAAAAGATGACCTGCCACAGGCCGCAAGTCATCTGGAAGACCGTAAGTCATCTGCCGTAGGCTGTAGATCATTTACTGCAGAACGTAGGTCATTTTTCACAGACAACAGGTCATCTTCTACAGTTTTCTTTTACAGACATTTCATCAAACACCTTATGTGCATACAAAAAAATGATTAGAATATCACAGAAAAAGAAATCAACCAGAAGAATATTTGAATAGATTAAACAAACTGTAAAAAATAGAGGAGATGGAAAAAATGTTGGAGAAAAAGTAAGATCAAATAGCAAAACGTTCTGATTTCTAAAAGATAGATTGTCACAAAAATACTTGCATGAATTTCGTTTTCCTCCGCATACATGAAAAAACACTTATATAGATTTTGTTTTCTTATATAAGTATAGAAAAACACTTGCATGGATTTCGTGAAAAAACACTTGCAGGTTAGCACGTGCGATAAGTACCATAGGTGACCTACCGCAAGTCGTAGGTGTCGAAGATGACCTGTCGTGGTCAGCAGATCATCTGGCAGACCGCAAGTCATCTGCCATAGGCTATAGGTCATTTACCGCAGAGCATAGGTCATTTTTCACAAACGGCAGGTCATCTTCTACAGTTTTCTTTTACATAAATTTCATCAAACACCTTATGTGCATACAAAAAAGGGTAAAACCCCTAAAAAACCTCCAACTTGAAAAAAATATATACAAATAAACCTTCAACTTGAAAAACTGTAATTCAATCCCCGAACTTGTAACTTGTCACTGAATAAAACCTCGAACTTGCAAATTATTGCTCTAATAAACCTTTGACCGGTTTGACCACAATTTCAGACGATCGGAAATCTATGTATTAACGGATTGCTGATGTCACCTTATACACGTTATCAATTTTAATTTAAAAAATGATATCAGCAATTCGTCAATACGTGGATTTCCGATCGTTTGAAATTGTGGTCAAACCGGTTAAAGGTTTATTAGAACAATAATTTGTAAGTTCGAGGTTTTATTCAGTGACAAGTTACAAGTTCGGGGATTGAATGACAGTTTTTCAAGTTGAAGGTTTATTTGTATATATTTTTGCAAGTTGGAGGTTTTTTAGGTGTTTTACCCTACAAAAAATGATTAGAATATCATAGAAAAAGAAATCAACCAGAAGAGTATTTGAATAGATTACATAAACTGTAAGAAATAGATGAGATAGAGAAATTGTTGGACAAAAAATAAGATCAAATAACAAAACGTTCCGATTTCTAAAAGATAGTTGTGAGGAAATCACAATCGTAATTATCTGGTCGTAGTCGTAGTATTATGGTCGTAGTGAAATTACAGTCGTATTTATATGGTCGTAGTCGTATGTATATGGTCGTAGTGAAACCACAATCGTAATTATCTGGTCGTAATCGTAGTTATATGGTCGTAGTGAGTCGTAATCGTAGTTATATGGTCATAATGAAACCATAGTCGTAATTATCTGGTCGTAGTCATAGTTATATAGTCGTAGTGAATCGTAGTCGTAGTTATATAGTCATAATAAAATCACAGTCGTAATTCTCTTGTCGTAGTAAGTCGTAGTCGTAGTTATATGGTCGTAGTGAGTCGTAGTCGTAGTTATATGGTCGTAGTGAAATCACAGTCGCAGGCCACAAGTTCGCAGTTCGCATGTCCGCATGTCTGCATGTCAGCATGTCCGCATGTCCGCATGCCAGATCATGTTGGGTTTCCTGGGATCTCATGAGCGAATCCTATTCCTAAGAGATCGATTCTAGGGTTTGCGCAGCGGAAGTAAAACAAAAATTTTTATAGAACCCTAGAACCATGCTTCTAATGAATCGTAGAAACGTTAGAACGCTTACCTCAATCGATCCGGGGCCTGTATCAACTGAAGAATTCGTCCGATCACTTAGGGAGGAAGATTACCTCGCCCTCTACACGTATCCACACCTCGGGATGGATTCCAACGATTGGAACTTGTCTGCTAGGACTAGAATCTCTATTCGGTTTTTCGCACTTCGAGAAAAACGAGACTTAGAACTTGTTGAGCTTTTTGGATCTCACCAAAAACTCTCCAAGAACACCAAAAGTCGGCTGCTAAAAGTCTCTCCATGATTAGGGTTCTAATCTCTTTCTTATAAAGTGATTTAACCCTAATTTCGGTTTAATTTTCGGAAAACTGGAACCTGGAACGGACGGTCCGGAATTGCACGTGGACCGTCCGTTCCAGTAAGGTAGAACGGACGGTCTACGTTTAGTGCGGACCGTCCGTTCTATCCTATAGAACGGACGGTCTGCGTGTT